GAGAATAACAGCACAATTGGAAGAGCGTGGTCAATGTCACTGAACTGTGTATGTAGAAATTTTTGAAACGGTGTTATCTTTGGCTATGTGTATTTTCACCAAAAAAAAAAAAAAGAGGTTGAGAATTTAGAGGGTTAATATGTTGTGGGGTTGTTAACCAATGTCATAAAACAACATGTGTACTACCGTTTCATGAGAAAGTATTTGTTCTTTAAGCCTTCACCTGAAGTACAATAAAAAAAAAAATATGACGAGAGGCTGGGCAAATTCTTCCCCCTTGAGTTTTAATTTTTCGGTTTTTCTCTAGAATCTTAACCTCTTGGAACAGTACAGTGGGATATCTGTCAAGTGTGCTATACAGATAACCACCCTGCAGCTTCTCTGCAGTTTTTTGTCCCATTTTTCAATAAAGTGTTCCATCTTTGTGATTGTTCCTAAGAATCTCTGTGGCTTCACAGATACTCAGGGTGTGGAGTAGGGCCTGGGAATCTGCACTTAAACAAGTACTCCAGGTGGTTCTTATGGCCGGGCAAGTTTGACAAACACTACTGTAAAGAAGGGTAAAGCCACTGTTATCCATGACCATGCTATCTGAATGGTTTGATCTTTGAAAGTAATTTGAGGCTGAGCCTGGATCCTACCTGTATGGGAGACCACTTGGTGCTATAGGCCAATGAAACTGCTTCTCTTTCATTGGTTCCTAATCTTCCTAATCTGATGATCATCAGAATCACGGGAGAAGCATTTAAAACTACAGATTCCTGGAGTCAACCTCAGAGAGTTTAATTCAGTAGAGGAAGTTTTTTTTAAAGCTTCCTAGGTGATGCTAATAACCAGCCAGGTTTGGAGACCAGACCACTGATACAGTACAAAGAGTGAAGGATTTGGAGTCAGCAGGTCTGGATTTAAATCCTGGTCCTTTCCCTTTTGAGTCTTATGAAGTTGGGTAAAAGAATTAAAGTTCTACTCTGGTACTTTTTTAAGGGAGACTGCTTAGAAAGTGAATGTTTTGACTATAAATTCCCTGTCAGCATACTGTCCGATGAAGGAAACTGGTGGCATTTCTCAGCTTAGTAATTGAAGAGTCTAATATGCTCCCATACTGATTTATATAGACCATTGTTGTATGGCCTCGAGTCGATTCCATAGAACAGAGTAGAACTGCCCATAGGGTTTCATAGGCTGTAATCTTTATATGGATTAAGTGATAATATTTGGGGAGAATATAAATGACTTGCATAGATTATTTGTGTATCAAATTAATATTCTAACTGGGATTTGAGCCTTTAATTTTTTGTTTAATTATTAAGCATGCTGCCTTATGAATTAACTACATCTCATTTTCTTTTAGATCTGATTATCATGGACCTGCGGCAGTTTCTTATGTGCCTGTCCCTGTGCACAGCCTTTGCCTTGAGCAAGCCCACAGAAAAGAAGGACCGGGTACACCATGAGCCTCAGCTCAGCGACAAGGTTCACAATGACGCTCAGAGCTTTGATTATGACCATGATGCCTTCCTGGGTGCTGAAGAAGCAAAGACCTTTGATCAGCTGACACCAGAAGAGAGCAAAGAAAGGCTTGGGTAAGGTGCCACCTCTCAGGGGCTAGTTAGGATAATGACATTCTTTATCAATCATCTAATTCTTTTTACCTCTTCTTGCTCAGTCGCTCATTAAAGCTGTGTTGAACTACATATTCTGAAAGTTAACCACAGAATTGCTACCAATAAAAAAAATCGAGAGCCTGCTTTCGTGCATTTCTCCATTGAATAACAATTGACAGCTCATTCTACAAAGCAGAGTCATTTTTGCATAAAGTGTCAAGCACTGTAGGACCCAGCTTGAACTGCTGGGATTATCTCGATCCCAAAAGAACATTACATGGTGAGGTTTCTCATCTCTGCTGCTTTTAATTTTTAAAAACTATCTATGACCCATTTATTGTTGCCCAAGCCAAGTCTTTTTGTGGCTAATAAATTGTAAATTGGACCCCTAGGCTAATTTCTCTGAAGTTAATGATTTCCAAGGATGTCCCTGACCCTTTTGCTTTCATCCTCAGGTATTTTTTTAATTAAAAAACAAACAAACCTTGCCTTTTAGAAGAGTGTGCCGACGATAATCTTAATGTCAGAGTATGAGTTGCTGTTTTAATAACAGCTGGGCTATGGTCAGGTTCTGTGTCTCAGCAGCCAGCTTTTTTCTGGAATATTAATCTTAAAAAGAGTAATCCCTGGATGGTGCAAATAGTTAAGCACTAGACTACTAACTAAAAGGTCTGTGGTTCATACCCACCCAGAGATGCCTCAGAAATAAGGCCTGGCAATTTGCTTCCAAAAGAATATAGCCTTGAAAACCCTGTGGGGCTGTTCTCCTCTGCACACTTGGGGTCACCATGAGTCAGAATCAGCTCGACAGCATCTAACAACAACAATCTTAAAGAATTGATTTGGTAGAGTCCCAGTTGATGATTTCTAACTGGGCTTCTGAGAATGTCTTTTTTGGTTCTGTCAAAACCTTGATTTTTAAGGAAATGCAGGCCAGTTCAGTGAAAAATGTCTCCTAAACGGAGCACCTTTGGACAATTTTCTAAATTATTAATGCATTCAAGAGATTGTCTGGAAAGCTGCACTACATTCTCCTTCAGGCATAGTAATATCCCTTAGTGCTATGATTCTAAGACATTATCATGGGGTTTGCTCTGCGAAGTACTTCAGAAGAGATTTATTTTATTCTTCTGTTGGATTGTCTGCTGGCTGATATATTTAGTTTTCGACATGGCAGAAACAATGAAAAGATTTTGCTATGTAGAATGAGCTATCCTCAAACATTTGAAAGTAATGTAGAAAAGATAACTATATTAAAGACTCAGTCTTGTGTTAAGTTGCTTTTCTAACTTTCAGAGACCGTGCAGATTTTTAATTTAATTGTGCTAACATTCTGGGCTGAAAATAGAGATGCATGAGGGTGTCTCAGTCTTCATGTCGTACATCTTAATTTCGTGCATGTCCAACCAATGTTTCAATCTGAACTTAAACCTCTTCACAGAATTACTCTTAAATAATGATGGCCCTGAGGTTTGATGGCATTTAGGGTTGTCGTCGTTGGAGCCCTGAGGGTGCAGTGGTTAAGAGCTCAGGCTGCTAACCAAAAGGTTGGCAGTTCCTATCCACCAGCCACTCCTTAGAAACCCTGTTGGGCAATTCTGTTCTGTCCTGTAGGGTTGCTATGAGTTGGAGTCTACTCGACAGCGGTGGGTTTGGTTTGGGTTTTTTTTGGTTGTTGTTGGGTGTCATCACGTCAGTTCCAACTCATAGTGACCCTCTGTACAACAGAATGAAACACTGGGTAGATGGTACTTTAATGAGGATATTCTGGCTCTTTTTGAGTAGTAGAATGGCTCTGCCACCAGTACTCAGGGAAGAGAAAATGTTCCTTTTTTGTCATCAGTAAATATTATCAAAAATTCAGCACATGAGCAGACCCTACATTTGATTAGAATAAGATAGTAACAACCATGTTTTTCATGAAATGTAACAGTGAACTAAGTACTGTTTGCTTTTCCCAAATTTTGGAGATAGTGACAAACAGCTCTAGTTTATACAGTGACGTACCGTTAGAAGCAGGAAACCCAGGTGAACTGTTCTTTACTTATTCACTGTAGTATTTCTGTTGTTTTGGTAGCTGACTATATATACCAGAGGTTGGGAACAGCTGATTCCCTTTCTTTTCCATCTGTCTATAAGGCAACTAATAGATAAGATCATTGCTTATACCTGTAGTTGCAAAATTTTACTGTTTTCAAATATTTAATAATAAAACTAAAAGACAACAGGAAGCAGTTTTGTCAACAATGTTAATACCCAGTTTTTCAATTCCTTTTTCTTATTAATAAAAAATGTTGACAAGTAGGACATTTTCTCTTATGTGTGTATTATCATTTTCTCTCCTACCTCCCCCGAAAAAAAAAAAAATTAAATATGCTTAGTTTTCTTTTCTGTGTAGATTTGTTTGTTTTGACATGGAGTCCTCCGTATAAAAAAGTCCTCTCCCTTGAAATACTTGCTATAGAAATAAACTAGAGCAGTTCATTATCCTTTTTGGGGGTCACATGCCCAGCTCCTTTGGGAGTCTTATTGAAAGCTAAGGACTCTTCTTCAGAAAAGTGCATACATAAGAACAGTATAAAATTTCCATGCTGGAAATTTCAGTTGTTTTATGGACCCTCCTGGAGTCCATCTACTGACCCAGATTCTTAACAAAATGAAAGAATTTGTTAAATTTAGCCACTTGAAATGTAGAGGCACGTGTTACTTCTTAGGAAAAATAGCGTAGGTCCACTTTAGTGCATTGTGTCTGTCTTTGAGTAAATGCTTATTTAGTGGCATCCTGGTGGCACAGTGGTTAAGAGCTCAGCTGCTAACCAAAAGGTCAGCAGTTCAAATCCACCAGCTGCTCCTTGGAAACCCTATGGAGCAGTTCTGCTCTGTCCTATTGGGTTGCTATGAGTCGGAATCAACTGATGACAATGGATTTTTTTTTAACTACATCCATAGAGTTCCCCAGTGTTCCAGGAATAAACACTGAGATTTACAAAGAGTTTAGGACTTACCACTTCCCGTGAACTTTTACAACTGCCTGCAGGCTGGATGGCCAGCAAGATTGGAGTCGCTTTTATATTTTTAGAGTTTTTTTTTTTTAAAAAAAAGGAACGATATGTGACAGACCATATGTGGCTCACGAAGCCCAAAATATTTACTATCTATCCCTTTGCAGAAAAAGTTTGCCAAGCCCTGATTAAAGCATTTGGGATATTTCTGTTGGAATAAATAGAATGGCGTTCGGCCAAATTCATTAAGAAATCCCGCTTGAGCAGTCATATGCCTTTTTTTATCTGGGCTATCCTTTTTAGACTATTAATGATAGTTGAGAAATTCCTCTTGAGGATGGGAGGGGTTCTTTTCTTCTTAATTGTACAATGGCACTATTGGACACAAACTGGATCCCATTGTAGAAGATGCATACGTTTTCAATACTGGTATAACTTAATTTGTTTATGTTGTTAAAACTACAGGGTTAAAGTGGCAAAAAAAATGTTTTGCTCTTATGTGGATAGAGGAGGGTATTTCAGAGATGGCTTCTTACTGCTTTGCATTTTCTGTTAGCATTTTAGAATGAAAGCTGTTAGCTTACGCGTTTTTTGAATAGACAGTTACGGCTAACACCGTGACTGTATCAAGGTGAATCTCTTCCTAGTGTCACTAGTACTCCGATTCTAATCACTTTCCCATATTATATTCATGAAATGAACACACATGGGGAAAAGACGTTATTTGCTACAAGTGACAGTCTTTTTTTAATTCTGCGCTTAATAGAGCATAGGAGTATGCCACGATTTCACTTCCATTGCAAGTTTTGATTTATGGTTGCCATTCTAAATTGGGCCAGTTACTTGTGTGACTGTTCATAGGTTTAGCTTTTCTGAGTAGTCTGGAGAGATTTTTGTATCATGCACATATTTTGAAATCCTTAAATTAAGATGACAGGTTTGGAAGAAAGGCACTCAAAAAGGGAGAATACATATATGTATATGATACATATATGACAATTGTATTGATCTGGTAGCTGTGTTGTTTTGCTTTATCATCTGCACGCTAACCCTCTCAGCTTATTAACATTCTCATGACCAGAGATATTCATCCTCACCCCATCATTTCCTCAGAGTTCTCTGTGTTCGTGCTTATATGTAAAAATCCAGTTCAGCATCTCAGTGTATTGTAAGCTTCTAGCCATTTTTTAGACTAAGTATCCTCCTGTCTTTGCTTTTTTTAAAAAACAATGTTGTCTTGAAGTATGTGATACCATATTTTTTACTATTTCTGATATTTTGATGTTTTCTGATATTTTGATATATTTCTTGAAATATGTGATCCCATGTTTTTTATATCTATATTTTTAAACAGTGTTGTTACCTTTTTTTAAAGTTTGATTTAAATATTTTTAATTTTTAGAAAATCATGTCAGTGGTTACGATTATTTACCAGTAAACTGGGGTTCTCGTCTAAAAGCAATAAAGGAAAATATAAAGATTTCCATGATTTTTATGCCAGAGTGGAGAACCCAGGCACGAGTGAGTAGTCACTGACAGTGAATGAACTCTCACCACAGGCTGAAACTGACCTCTCACGGGAGGGCTTTTCTTTCAGATCCAGTGCACCTACCTGGGTGGCTTGTTACAGACCAATCCCTGGCCACTTGAGAGAAAAAATTCCCGTTACCTTATTTGGCAATTTTGTTTTGAGGCAATTTTTTTTTTTTTTTAATTTCTGATGCTTTAGCCCTGGGCAGCACCTACGGTCACAGCACACACATGGCTAAGTCAGGAGCCTTGTGTCCCTTTAACCTCTTGCTGGATTTCTCTGCATTTTCTACAGAAAGATTGTAAGTAAAATAGATGGCGACAAGGACGGGTTTGTCACTGTGGATGAGCTCAAAGACTGGATTAAATTTGCTCAAAAGCGCTGGATTTACGAGGATGTAGAGCGGCAGTGGAAGGGGCATGACCTCAATGAGGACGGCCTCGTTTCCTGGGAGGAGTATAAAAATGCCACCTACGGCTACGTTTTAGGTAGGTCCCTACTACCTGGAGGAAAAAGCCTTGTGGAGCCGGCACCTTGAAACGTAACTGTTTTGTCTTGTAGAATGATTGTAGATAAAATAGACGCGGATAAAGATGGGTTTGTGACGGAGGGGGAGCTGAAATCCTGGATTAAGCACGCCCAGAAGAAATACATATATGACAATGTTGAAAACCAATGGCAGGAGTTTGATATGAATCAAGACGGCTTAATCTCCTGGGATGAGTACAGAAACGTGACTTATGGCACTTACCTGGGTAAGGGGCAAGATGTCAGCCTGGCAGAGACCATGGTCTTGCGTCAAAGAAACAAATGGGTCACGCAGTAAAGGAAAGGAAGAAATTGTCTTTATGTTAAATAATTCAATACTGAGCTGATTTTCCTCTATTATATTTAAATTTGTATACTATGTATTTCTTAATGTTCGTTTTCTGAACTATTGCATCTTCTACATCTTTAGCATTTCAACAGTATTTTACTGTTTTTTTCTTCCTGTCACCCTCATAGAGACGCTTTTTGGAACAGATCTCCTTTAAAAGCCTGCATTGCTCCAGCAGTGCAAAGCAAGAGGTTTTCACATGTCTCTTGACATGGTCACATTAAAGTGTTGGACCTAAAATTTAAGCCAAATTAGATTCCTTTATGACTGTTGAGAATAGGAGGAAAATTGCCTTCTTAATAAAAATGAAGAAAAGATCAAATAATTTAGCTTTCCTCGTTAAAAGTTAACTATCTCGGTATGTCTATTTACTGAAGTTTGGAACTGAAAATTTCCCATTTGTTTTCTCTGGCACATGAGTTTACCAGCCTGCTTCGCAATGTTTCAAGGCAAATAAATGTTACTTTGATTGCTTTCTGTTGGTTTGGTGGCTTGTGCTTGAGCCACCTGTTAGAAATTTTGTTTTACTTATTACACTTGCCTGCCGCTGAATATTAGGTGGCAGTCTTACTGAGGTGATGGCCCAGGATGTTTGTGTTAGTCAGATCCCTCTATTATACTTACTACAATTTGAGATAAGAATGTATCAATACTACTTTTTTCCCCCACATTTTTATCCTGGAAACAAGGCACATTTCTGGGTTAAAGTGGATGCTCTCCACCACTGGCTGCCTATGAGTGTGTGATGGTCTGCTCCCCCACTGGATAGCCAGCTGTCCAAGTTAATTACAGAGCTGCCCGCATTTCTGGTAAAGAGACTTTTATTTCTGTGGCAGGCTTGTTCTCATTCCTAAGACCAAAGTGGAAATCTCTCGATGCTTGACACTTAGCCAAGAACCAAACATAGCCTTCACCCGATTAAGAACACGTGTGTTAAAAGCCAACGCAGATGGAGAGGCAGCAGTGCTGCTTGTCTCTGGCTCAGCCAACACCCTTCTGGTTTATTTGGAATTAAGAACAAGTATAAAGCAAAGGGTCGGCTATTGGTTCTCTAAACAAAATGATGTGCTAATAAATTTCAGCACTAGCCTGGACACTCACTTGCTACCCAGAATGAATCTTAAAATCTGTGTATGATTATGTGCATAAAAATCCCTTGAGAGCACTGTTGCCTCACAGAGCAGATGATTCAACGTAATGGGCATTTCTCTGACGGAGACTGCATAAACTAAAGCGCTGGCTGGAGAAGCTATGTCTTTATAAGGCATCTTTCCCCGGAGGAGTGCGGGCGGACAGCTCACAGGGTGTGATGAATCGGCTTAGAGAAGCGCAGAGTTTTTTGTGAGCGCGTGTTCTTGACTCAATTTTGAGTTCAGGTATAAGTCACCTTAATTAAAATCTGTCTCAGTGCATCTGCTTTTCACAGAAGGAACGTTATTAACACTCTTTCTGCCACAGTTAAAATGTGAAATACTAAGATCCATCCTGCCTAGATCAAGAGCCTGCCTCAAACTATACAGGCCAGTGGGTCAGTAAAGTGGGGCTCAGCATAGACAGGGTGCTCCATGGGACATGAGAGGCATTGAAATTAAGTCACTAAAAATACAGCTTTGCATCTTCCTTTTTCATCCTTACATACGTGCATGTTACTATCAGGCTACTTGATTTCAGTGACCATGTTTTACCCTGTGGAGGGGAGGAGGGCTCTTAGCTAAGAAGCTAGTCTTGCCTTCTATGATCTGTCTTATTTGTGTTACATAATTGGTATGTTTAAGAAGAGATGGCTTAGTATGTGAACAAGGTGTTTTCCTTAAATTCTCCATCTCCAAGCTCTTACGGCTTCGAGTGTATGTGTACAGGTCCCGAAGGCCTTGTGATTCAGTAAGCTGTCTGACTGGATTTTTGCACTCAACAAAGAATGAAGCTTCACTTAACATTTACCAGTGAATAGTGTGACATATTTCTCTATTTTACGAAGTCAGCCTTTATTTCCCTAAGTAAAGTGTGTAGTTTTGTGTAAACAAGAATGAAGCTTCAAGCTGCTTAACTCTCAAAATAGAGCACTGTGTTTTTTTTGTTTTTTTTTAAACTGCACTTAAAGTATGGAAAGGGTTGAACTGCAGTATCAAAGGTTAGCAGTACGGTGGTGGTGTTAAAGGGGCCCTGTGATTCTGTAAAACGAGTGCCATATCTTTTTTATTTGATCAGTATGTTGCAGAACAGTAATGTCATGCCTTTTACTTTTCAAAGTGTCTTCACATCTGTTATCTTATTTAGTCCACACAGCAACTCTGCTTGAAAAGCTATTTTTATTTCTTTTCTACAGTTAACTGATGCAAGTTTTTCAGCTTTAAGAAACTAAACTTCATAGTTGGATTCTTACATAGAGAACAGATAAGTGCTGCCTGTATAGTTGAGCATCGTAACCAGTGCTCGTTCAGTTTGGTTGTCGTCTGATGTTTCTTTTTTAAAAACAACTTCATTGAGGTATAACTGACATACATAAACTGCACGTATTTAAAGTGTACAACTGACAAGTTTTGGCATAGATACTACACACCTGTGAAGCCGTCATTACAATCAAGATAATGAACATGTCCTTCACCCCAAGAAGTCTCCTTATGCCCCTTTGTAATCCCTCTCACCCTCCCACCTGGCCCTAGGCAACCACTGATCTACTTTCTGTAACTCTAGTTTGTATTTTCTAGAATTTTACGTAAATAGGGGAAGAACAGTACCTGTAACTCATGGCAGATTTCAGGGTTGGCTCAGAAAAAGAAGTGTGACCTTTCAAAGTGGTGATGTTCTGTTGCTTGAATCCAAGTGGCCTTAATATGGGATAGAAGGCCTTTGGTATCTAGTGACTTAATGGGAGCCTAACTTTTAATAATAGCAATAGCTAACATATACGTGTCAAGCACTGTCCTAAGCACTTAGATTTATTATCTCATTTAAACCTCTCAACAATCCTGTGAGGCAGGTGCTATTACTACCCCCATTTTACAGATGAGGAAACTGAGGTATAGTTAAGTTGCTTGCCCAAGGTCACACAGCTAGGAAGTGGTCGAGATAGGATTCAGACCCAGACCATATGACTTCAGAATTGACCGCTGTCTCCCAGATGTAAAGTAGAAAACTCGAGCCCTCTAGCATCCTTTATACCGATAACAGTGAAGCACTACCTGTTGGGTTCCGTAGTCCAGGAGGCAGGGCCCCACGTTGAATGGCAGACATTTGTGTTCAGCTTGGGGCCGACTCTGGGGTCTTTGATTACTGGAGCTTCAGCTGAACGTGGAAGGTCTCTGCAGTGCTGCAGTTTTACCTGTGAAATCAAGAGTTACCTTTTCACTGCTTGGTTTATCTTTCTTGGAAATTGATTCCCTACCCACATTTTCATGTTTTCTGGAAGTCTTTTAAGATTTGACCTGTATTTTTGTTAAATCTAGATGATCCAGACCCTGATGATGGATTTAATTATAAACAGATGATGGTTAGAGATGAGCGGAGGTTTAAAATGGCCGACAAGGATGGAGACCTCATTGCCACAAAGGAGGAGTTCACAGCTTTCCTGCACCCTGAGGAGTATGACTACATGAAAGATATTGTAGTACAGGTGGGTGATTGAACAGGAATGGAATTTGTTTTTTTTGCTTATGCCATCTTTCCTCTTGGTTTTCCTGTATATTTGGAAGAATGACTTTGCAGTGCAGAGTGCTGGCCAGATTCAGAGTCCCAGCTCTGTCCCTCTGTTTTTCTGTGATCTTGAGCAAGTAATTTCTCTTGGTGCCTTAGGCTTTCTGTTTAGTGCAATAATACTTCCCATCACATATTTTGCAGCTTCGTTGGTGGCTTCATATTGTAAACATGGTGGGAAATCCTATTTATTTAAAATGTCCCATGACCATTGGTTAGACACTGAGTGATAAACTGATACTGAAGAATTCTCATGGAGGGCAGTTACCTATAACATAGACTATAACTATAGATGTAGTCACTGGTCACATCTCTTCTTAGTGTGACTTTAGCGTGAGGGCTACCAGATCATCATGGACTTGATGGCTTAGTTCATTATTAAGCAGTGTCAGTGTTCCTCTCAGAAAACTGGTGGTTATTTTAGGTTAAAGCAGAAGACATTGCTAACATTTTACTGTTTTTCAGCTAGGAAAACAACAGTTTCCTATGGTTTTACCATATACACACTTTTTTTTTTTTTAATGAATGATAAATATTTGCCTTCACTAGTGGCCGTACTCGTACTCTCTTCTGGCAGACTCACTCAGAGACAGACTTTAATAGTCTCTTCTTGTTTTCTCTGGTTTAGGAAACAATGGAGGATATAGATAAGAATGCTGATGGTTTTATTGATCTAGAAGAGTATATTGGTAAGTCTCTGGTGTTTTTCTTAGAAGAAGCTGAGAAACTTTGGAAGAAATGTTCACCCATGGAAACAGTTTACCCCACAGGTCAACTCTCAGCAGATCATTAAGCCAGGCCAGGGTGGAGAGGAGTGGGTCTTTTAAAGAATCCACAGCAGCGTTGTCCAAGGAAAATACAAGTGCGAACCAGAATGTGATTTAAAATTTTCTAATTGCCACATTTAAAAACTTAAAAAAAAACAAACAAACCATAAAATTAATTTCAGTAAAGTATTTTATTCAACCTAATATGCCAAAATATTATAACTTAAACATGTAACCAATATAAAATATGTAGAGATATCTTACCTTTTTTTTAATTTACTACGTCTTTAAAAGTGCAGTTTACATGTACAGCACATCTCGATTTGGACCAGCCACATTTCAGTTGCTAATAGCCACATGTGGCCAGTGGCTACTGTATCAGACAGCACAGGTATAATGTATCCTGGATGCCCTGTAGAATGAGCAGCAGAGAGCTGCAAGGAGCCTAGACTGGCATTAGGAGAGCCAGGAAAAGGAGATAGGGACTAGATTAGAGACAGGTGGGTGAATAAGTGACAAGGGTTGCTCATCGCTCTTAATGCATTTTCCTTTTCACTGTGTCATGCTCATAGTTTGTCTCTAACTAGTTTCCTTTTGTTTTTTTAAGTTGCTCCTTTCTGCCATTGTCCCTTTGAGTTATCTTTTTTTTTTTTTTATGCTGCACTTTCAAGACTGATTTCTCCCAAGTAAAGTTCTGTTTTTATTACCCTCAGAATAATTTTGAGATGTTCCCATTACTTTAAAGAAGAGCTGCCTCTCTTACCAAGTAGTTGAGAAAATTGCTTCACAATTACTGTGAGGGAAATAAAAGTGACTAAAATGAAAAGCATTGACTATAGTCACAAACGTCTTTGTTAGAAACATCACCCATTTTTTAAAATATTGGATATTTTTGTGTCTTATATTCTTATTTTAACTCATAGTAACTTATTCTGGTGCACCACTGGTTTTGTGTTTCATAAGCCAATTTGTTTTTAGACCTCTGATCTTTACCTGAAATGTTTATTTTAAGCCTGCAGGGAGACCAAAGCCCTAGCTCTCTCGCCTGACACTGAAACTGCATTGAACAAGTCACTCTGTTACTCAGAATTTTGGTTAATCATACCTGTGTTTCTTTTCTAGAGTTATTCCACTTGCATTACTAATACTTCTTGAATATTTATCACCCTTTTCTTCTAAGACTCGATGTACTTTGAGCTTTTTAGAGAAGGGGGAATGAGCAAGGGACGACAGGGGCTCTTTCCCAAAATGATTTTGCGTGTGTATGTGGAGTTCATCAGCACAGTGGAAATACATGCCTGGGCGCATTTACTGAGCCCATTTCAAAGTTGAAGTTTATAGGATTTTCTGCTTTTATATATCTTATCTTTTCCCATTCCTGGCTTTTGCCATTTTATCACCATTGCTAAAACTGATGGACTTGTTTGAACCTCCTGAGGCGAGGAACTAAGTTTTATAACTCTTAAATACTGTCTTATCAAGCATTGAAGCCAAGTGGTAGGTATTTCCGTCTCCCTTCTCTTCATTTAGATTTAAGGACAGAGGAAGTATATCTTGAAGCTACTAAAACTATTTGTGTGTATGTGTGTGTTGTATGTGTTGCTTTTTTTGCAAATCAGCTAATGTAAACACTTTCACATCCTGGATGCAGGACTTTGTAAAGCTAAAATTCTACCAAACAGGATCTGCCCTTTTCTAGGGATATGCCAGTTTCTGTCCCATTGAGGAGAGAGATCATAAACAATTGTTTTTTGCCTCTTATATTTAGCATTACAAGTAGTCCCTGACTTAGAATGGGGCTCTGTTCCAACAACTCCGTCTTAAGTCAGTTCTGAGGTAAATTGAATGCCTCTTTTTTTTTTTGTTTCCTTATTTTCTTTTGTTATCAGTATATTTATAAATCTAACCTTTGTCTTTGGAGGTTAGACATATATATATATAAACTAACGATACATTTTAATACATACATATATACACCCACTCCTTACTTATCGACATGGTTAGGTTCCAAAGACCAGGTCATTATGTGAAAATTGGCATTACGTAAAAATGGAGGATGACTACATCATTACACAACTGTCAAATTACATCATTACATAACTGCTAAATTACATCATTACATAGCTGCCAAACCACTGAGAATCATGACTCAGCCAAGATGACACTTAACCTTAACCATCACCGCCAGTGTTACTCTCACCTCATACCTCGGAGTTTGTTACTGCCAGATATACGTCATTACTGCACAAAATAGTCAGATAGTAGATTTTTTGCTATTGTCGTAAATGTGAAATATCGGATAATGAGATAGTCGATAAATGAGTAGGTACATTAGAAAATACATGAATCATAAAAAATTTCAAAGGCCAGTTTTTCATAACTCAGCCATATCGTAAGTCAGGGACTACCTGTAATAAGCCACCAGTTGTGTTGTTTAATTCTTTTTTTTTTTTTTAATAGAACACTGCAAACATACCCAGAATTAGACAGAATAGTATACCGGGTACCTGTGCCCACTCCCAACAGCCGTTAACCTGTGGCCAATCCGTTTTCATCCACATCCGCTTTATTGTTTTGAAGTAAACCCCAATCGTCTCATTTCGTCTTCAAACACTTGGTTATGTATCTCTAAGAACTTTTTAAACATATCTCAATAACAAAAAAATTAATAATTCCTTAATATCATCAAATGCCTTTCTTTTCTAAATTGGGAGAAGGGCGATTGTGAAAGGGGAGGCAGGAAAGAAGTCTTTATGACCAAATTGGGAGAAGGGCGATTGTGAAAGGGGAGGCAGGAAAGAAGTCTTTATGACCACAGGTACATTCTTAGGCAGATGAATTTTTAGGAAAAACTGTATATGGAAGTTGAGGATCTGAAACGTGATTCCCTTATACTGTCCTTTCCCAGTGTACCCCTGGACAATATTGGTATTTCCCCAGGGGAGTGTGTATCCCCACCCCACCCCCGTTGAAGGCCACTGGTGTAGTGACTTTATGTAGTAATTGATTGCTAGGCAGCTTTGGCTTGTAATATACAAGCTCCCTTGAGAATTTGAAAGAGCACTTCTAAAATCTCTGCTTGGTCACCTTGAGGTGAGATGGAATATTAGGGAACAACTGTCTTATAGCCATCTCCCCTTATTTCTGCATTTTTTAAGGTATTAGGACCCTTATTTGTGCTCACCTCCCTCCAAATCAACAGCTGGAAATATTCTTTTGCAAGATCAGTAATTAAACGTCAGGAAAATGCCTGGCTTTCTCAGGTCTCTCGCCTAAAATACCCTTGGAGCTGTTGTTAGGGTCCAAACAGATGCATAAGGAAGAAGGGCGAGGCCCAATTAGCATGATGCAGTCTTTCAAAAAAGACAAACGCTTCTCTTGCACATATGTGTGTGCACATAGGTGACATGTACAGCCACGATGGAAATGCTGATGAGCCCGAATGGGTAAAGACAGAGCGAGAGCAGTTTGTGGAGTTTCGAGATAAGAACCGAGATGGAAAGATGGACAAGGAAGAGACCAAAGACTGGATCCTCCCCTCAGACTACGATCATGCAGAGGCAGAAGCCAGGCACCTGGTCTATGAATCAGACCAGAACAAGGTAAGCTGGCCAGGCCCAAACAACCTGGCCGCCAACTAGGTCTGTTTGTAGGGGATTACCTTAAAAATTCCAATTAAGAGCCATAGAGCATTGAAGGTCTTACTTAGTCTGAGTGTGCTAGGGATCTAAATTTGGCTGTTGAAAACTTTTGGGCAGTACTGGCTACTGTCTGATCTCATTTCGGAAATCTCTTTGTCCATTGTTTGTAGCACTGGAGGAACTTGGGCTTCAGAACGATCCTCTGTTGTATGCCCAGCATGCATCACCTGTTATCATGGGTTCCTGAGAAATTTCCTTCCCCCCCCCCCTTTTTTTTTTTGGACTTTGCTATTTCCTTTGTTGTTTTACCTATTACAGGCCCATTCTGCCCTCTGAAAACTAGTTATTTCCTTCTGATATCAAATATGCTTTTTCAAATTAGGTCCCGTGTAGTAGGTTATAAATCACCTTTCCTCTGGAGCCTGTTCAGTGCCCTTCATCAGTTATCTGGGGCATTCGATTCCTTAAGAGTGCTGTTTATCACCAAGCCCATCGCCTTTTCAGAGACTTGAGAGCTCAGCTTAGAGTGAGCTGAAAATCAGTCTGAAGATGGGATTTTTAGTATTCTGAACATTCTGTTATCTAGTTTCTCATTGTACAGCCTCTTTTAGGTTCAGCCCATACTGAGTTCTTGCTCAAGCCATGTCAGTCTCGAGTTGCTGTGTCCTGAGATGAGAAAAAGAAACGCATTCAGCCGTCCCTTGGGAATCTAGCCTAGAACATTTTGAGATGAACATTAGGACCCTTCATTTGGGATTGTACCTGGAATCCGGTTGGGGGCTAGGGCAGAGTGGAGATGGGAACTCTGCTTGAGATTTAGCAGATTCTGTTGATCCTGTCAGACAGTGGCTTGATTCACTGTGAAATATTTGCCCAGCTGTTCGTGACCATCTCTTACCCAGATCTAGGCATTGTCCCACATTTTCCTCGAAAGGTGGAGTTTTCTCCTCAGGAAACAAGCCTATGTCTCTACCATTGAGCTGTTGAGCTGTATTATTCCCCTTTTCCACTTTTAATTTTCTTGATAAGGCAAATGTACTAATTGCTGTTTTCTTCCCTCTTTTTTGTGTGTAGAGGGATGAGGGTTGAGCTCACATTTAATTTAGTGAAGATTAAAATCATAAATCCTGCTTAACCCCTATTGTTCTATAGCAGTGTCTCTGAGTTTGGAATGGGAAGTATATTCTGCTTGATTTCACTGTGCTCTCTTAATTTCAGGATGGCAAGCTTACCAAGGAGGAGATTGTTGACAAGTATGATTTATTTGTGGGCAGCCAGGCCACAGATTTTGGCGAGGCCTTAGTACGACATGACGAGTTCTGAGCTGCAGGCAGGAGCCCGCCTCTCTTCAAAAGTAATTTATTTTTACAGCTTCGGGTTTCACATGAGATTGTTTTCGCTACTGAGACTGTTATCACAGACTTTTCAGATGTGAAAAGGCGTAACAAAAACCATCCCGTCCCCATTCCCCCTCCTCCCCCAGGGACTGGAGGGGACCTGTGCTTCTGATGAACAACTCTAATCATTACACTTGTGTTTGTAGAGTTACACTTTGTATTATGTATAACACGTGGTGTTTATTTTTGTATTTGTTCTCTGGTTGGGAGGATGATATGAAGGATCGAGGTCCTCACCTCACACTTGTAGGCAAACATTAGTCCTTCACTCTTTCTCAACCCTTTATAAGTTTTGTAATTCTTACTTAACTAATTTTTAAGCCTGAGATCAGTAAGAAATGATAAGGGGAGAGAAAAGGAAAAACACACCTCACAGTTTCTATTTAGAGAGCTAACACCTACCCTTGCCTATCTGAGAGTGTAACATTTCACAAGTTGTGGGGGCCACACGTTCCATTCAGTTGCTGCGGATCCAGCAACTGATCCTGGCATCATCTGGGCAAGGAATGATCCCTGTGCTGTAAGAAACCTTGGCTCAAATTGATTTTCTTTTTTATTTTTTTCCCCCTAGGAGTATCCATTTGCTAATTTTGTCGAGCACAGCTGTGGTGGGAAGAGTTAGGGCCAGTGTCTTGAAAAATCAATCAAGTAGTGAGTGTGATCTCTTTACAGAGCTATAGATAGAAACAGCTGGAAAACTAAAGGAAAAATGCAAGTGCTTTCCGGGTGTACATTTTTTCTCTGGGTGTGCATCTTTTGAAATGCTTGAGGTTGTCTTGCCCCTGGCAATCACTGTCAGCCGCCCAGCCTGGCTCCTCTTTCCCCAGGTGTTCAGTTGAACCGAAGAATCAATCTTGTTTTCACTGCAATTAAAATCTACTCCTCCCCAATCATGTCACTGAAAGTGCCTTTAACTGACAGGAGAAATGATCACTGAATGAGATTCTCTTAAGAAACCCTAAAGATAAAATAGGGAGAAGATTATTTGGACCACCTCATATGAAAGCTTAGAACCTCCCAATACGGTGGGGTTTTTTTCCCCTTCCCTTTGTCTTTTGGACAGTGGTTAAATAGCAGTATTAGTTAAGAGCTCGGGTGCAGTGTTCTCATCTTAAGGGCTGGTTTCCAAAAACCACATGCTGCTGAATTTACCAGGGATCCTCATACCTCAGAATGCAAACCACTTACTACCAGGCCTCTTATTGTGCTGGCTGGCGAGCTGGAGCTCAGACTCGAAGATGAGAGGACCCGCAGAGAGGGCTCTTTGGTTTGAGGACCATTGCTCACCCTTCCTGCCTGCCTTTGAATCATCTCCATTCTCCCATCTCCCTCTGCTCCCCTCAAATGCTTGTTATGGATTGACAGGTTGTCAGTCCTTATCAGAGAGAAGGATGTTGTAGAAAGAGCTGAAGGACCGCCCTTCTTCCCAACTCCACTTCACCTACATTTTACAGAACATGAACTCCATCTTCTTTGGTCCCTTTCTTACAGATGGACCGCTTTTGAAAAAGTTATTGTATTCTAAGTTTTTAATCCTCAGGTCACTAAGATAAGCATATGTATATATAGCCTTTACTATTTCATGTATCTTTCTGGATAATAAGGTGGTGCTGGGTGATTATTATAATCTGAACCTAGGTACATCTTTGGTCTTCCATACCTGCTTGGTATGGTGAAAAGCCAAGTATCATGTAACTTCACCACAGCCTTTGAATTGAGCTCTTGATAGTGGGTATACCTTTTTCTTTTTTTAAAAAAAAGTTTAACCCCAGTATAGAGAAAGGGAAATGAAGTTCTCCGCCCTCTAGATTCCCACTTTTAAGAAGACCAGAGATAATAGTTCCATGCCCCCAACCCTGACTTCGTTTGAGAGGGCACATCATGAGCTATGTGGCAAGAGAGCCCACAGCTCACTAGGTGCATAGAAGCCAGGCCTTAGTCACCCACTTAGAAAGCAGACCTTACTCTGCCAAGACGGCAACTTCTGGATGCTGGGAGCTCAGCAGCGAGCATTTAATCTCTCTCGATGTCCCTGGATTATATTTTTGGTTTAAATCAAGCCTGAGGCTGGTGAACAGTAGCTACACACCCACACTGTGTGTTCTGTGAATGCTAGCTCTCTTGAATTTGCATACTGGTTATTTTTGATAGAGTGTAAACCAAGTTTTATATTCTGTAATGCAAACAGGTACCTATCTGTTTCTAAATAAAACTGTTTACATTCGTTGTGGGGATGTGTGTCTTCATTCTCTAAGAACTGGAACTCTTGCTCAGAAGTGTCGGTGCTGTGAAATGTCACAGAAAGAGAGCTCTCCAGGAGGTTTACCATACTCTCCCCTGCCCCCACCAAGCCCAGAGAAATTATGACTGTCTCCCAAGTTGGCTACTTTCCTCCCATTTCTGAAATCTTCTAGGATCCTTCTCACCACCGCTGTAGCCCTTCTCTGCTTCACTTAGGCCATATGACTGGAGAGCAGCCCAGCTGCTCATTAGGTAATTATCTGATACCAAACACAAGCCACTCCTGGGTGCAAACACAATGTTCGTCTTGATTTTTATTTCAAAAAGGCTCTTTTTTGAAGGGAGTGGGAGGGATATAGAATATAATGTAAAACAGCTTTTTAAGCATTTTTATATAAACTAGTAAAAATATTAAAAGGTGCAAATTCAAGTACATGTAGGAAGTTAAACTGTTAACTTTAGGAAATAACATAACTTAAGACGGATATATAGGTTTAGACAAATTGGGAGGAGGGTTCCTGGAATAATTCGTGCTGGCTCAGGGGCTTATGGGCATGACTGTCCCTGTCCAGACTAGCAATTATTGGCAGAGAGAGCATAAAGAAGTTGTTTCAAACTCATATTTAGGGCTTACTAAAGGATTTTGTTTTTTCTTTATATCTTGCCTATTTCTAAGGTGTTTTCTTAAGTTTGTTCTAATTCAGAATACCGTCATCTCAGCAGATTCCCAGAAGTAAAAAAAAGTTACTAAAAACATTTTCTCCATACACTGAAATAAGATCAGCTATACTTCTTAACTGCATTGTATATAGAAATCGGTTCTCCAATGGCTGTGAATGGTGCCACTTTGGAGTAGAAACTGATGATTGTTTAAATGGTCTTTGCAGTGGTCTCAAGTAATCCAAGCTGGAAGCAGTAGCTCTGTGGGCAGGAAGGAAATAAATGAAAACTTGATTGTCAAAGCCGTCCTTCCCCTTCCTTTTTCTGTGTTTTGTTAATAGTTTGGTTTTAGACAGAGAAAATAAAAACTTACTTAAATGTAAAATTCTAGTTGCTGCAAACAAACCAGCACGGGCTCCTCAGTTGGGGCCAACTTGGCTAGAAGAAAGAGTAGAAACTTCCATTTTCTGGGAGCTGGACACGTCAGATTCATCTGCCATGGACTTCCCACACACCATCTCCATGATGCAGGCGCGGAACTGGAGGAGAGGGCGGAGTTGGAGGGAGCCCTCTTGGCCAACCAAGGCAGGGAAGACAACATCACAAAGTGTGGACAGAAGACCTCATTCTTTGTAGCCTCAAAGCCTCCCACAATGCCTGATACCCAAGATCTGCTCGGGCAGTTTCAAATATCTTTCCAATTCCGAAAGCCAGCTAAATAACAGCCTAGGACTGCCTGCTACTCTGGGTCTGCAGTAATCCCTAAACGTTCATGCTAACTCTGAGGCCATACTGTTTGGGAACCTCACAAACCAGGCTGCTTCTTAAGAGAACACTGTTGAAAGTGGCCCCAGGGTAGGCCCATCCATCCCACCTTTACTAAAAGATACTCCCAACTGAAAGGAGCCCTGGTGGCACAAGGGTTAAGAGCTCAGTTTAAAAGGTTGGCGGTTCAAACCCATCTAGATGCTCCGCAGGACAAAGACTTGGTGATCTACTTCCATAAACATTACAGCGTAGAAAACCCTATGGGGCAGTCTACGCTCACTTGGGGTCACCATGAATTGAAATCAACTCAACGGCACACAACCACCGCTCCCAACTGAAAAGAACTGCCAATTCTGTTTCTATCTAGGAAATTTCAAATTTGTATTGAATCCATCTCTGGGATTAAGGAAACAAAATAATAATTCTCAAAGCAGGATTTTTGCCCTAAAATACAGGAGCTCTCCTAGCTTCGTCTGCGTTCTGGTGGTTTATTAGCTCAGATTCAGGCTTTGGGATTGGAGGCCACCTGGTACTTACAGATGATAAACTTTTAAAGATTTTTGCACATGTTGTGATTTTTGTGCTTCATACATGCCCTGCAGGCTAGAAGTTGGAAAAAATTAAAAGCTCGTGAAATGGAAGGATTGGACATTTAGGGGAACTATTGATGATCAATTTTTCAAATGCTTTAAAAAAAAAAAAAAAAATGGAAAACCCACTTCTCATCCTGCCCTTTGGAGCAACTTGATTTTTATGGCTCAGGTGCTATCCTCCCTGGGTTTTATTATCTTTTCTTGATGACCATACCTTCTTCCCTGTGCTTAACCACCAGTTTCCCAGCTTACTATGGGTTTCCTTATCCACCCCTAGGAGCCTTCTTGAGTAAAACCCTCCATACTTTGCGTTTAAAGCCATTGGTGAGAAGGTCTTGTGAAAGCTCAGAGGAATGTAAGGAAAGAGTTTTACCTGCTTATTCATGAAGCAGTAGATGATGGGATTATAGACACAAGCACTCTTGGAGAAGAAGGCAGGAATGGTGACAAGCCTCAAGTCCAGCCCGTGGTTACGGTTGTTGACTATGTACATGGCCAAGGCAGCATAGGGCACGTAACAAAGACAAAAGGATCCCACCATCACAATCACCATGCGGCTCACTTCCCGCTCAGCCTTCTGGGTTGTAGCTGACTCCTGCTGCTGAGCTGCAACCTGAGGCAGAGCACAGAGAGACCATCACCGTCCCTCTTCTCCCAGGTCTTCAATTCCCAGTTCTCTGGACTCTTCTATCGGGAAGCACCCACTCTAATTGCCTCTCTCCGTCCCAGCTTCTGGCCTAGTCTGGCTGTCTCTCCTTGAGGGTGGCAGGATGGGGGCTGCTCTCTGGTCTGTGACACTGAGAAGGATCACATGCATCTTGACATTCAGAATCCACTTATTTGATCAGGAATGAAGCCATCTTACTATTCATTCCATTTCATCATTCTCACTATCTCCACTTCCTTCACTGCTTTGAGATATCCCCCCTACCTGGCTGTGGACATTTCCAGATGCCTTATGTTCTAAAGCCCTCACCCACACCTCCCTCCCACCTGGAGGCCCATGGCCCACTCCTCCCTCACCCTCACAACAGCCACTCACAGCTCTGAGGGCCCCCAGCAGCTGGGAGTAGGAGAAGCATATGAGGGAAAGGGGCACGATGAAGCAGAAGATGAAGAGGAACCATGTATAGTGCTCGCTGTGATATTTGGTGCCCACCGTATACCAGTCAGGGCCACAGGAACACTGCAGGCCTTCAGGCATGAACCTGCAAAGGACCAAGTACTCAGCCTTGGGACAAACACTTGCTCCCTGTAGTATCAGTGGAGTGGGAGCTGAGATGCCTGGATCGTATTCTCCACTTAGAATCCAGATATGCCAAAAGACTTGAAGCTGCAAGGATTTTCTGTCCTCACCAGCAAAAGGCTATAGTAATTCCAACTGTAGATTAAATTTTAGCACTTGTTTCCCACAGCCCCTCAGCCTCACCTACTCCACTAACTCTTTAAAAAGTAGAGGTCAGAGACTAAAAGACATTATACCCAAGCTTTCTCTCCACCCACATCAACCTGAGCTCTCTTAGCTAAGTCAGCACCGCTGCCCTGCACTCTCACCGGCTCCAGCCAAAGAAGGGTGGGATGGAGACGCCAATACCGATGGCCCAAGTAGCCAGGACCACCATCAGTGCGTGCTTGGAGCTGAAGCGGATGTTGCCGAAGGGCTTACAGATGACAATGTAGCGCTCAAAGGCCAAGAAGGCCAGTGACCATCCTGTCACAAGACCTGTGGTGAAATGTGAGGGCAGTGGAGTAGACAGCCGTGCCAAGCTTGGCAGAAGGAGTGGAAGACAGCCGGGGTGGAGCAAGCATAGAATCAGAGAGGGTTGGACTGATGGTTAGAATAGAGTTTGGGACTCAGACATCCTATTTTGGTCAAACTGTTAGTCCAGGCTGCTTTGTACCCCAATATTCATAAAAGCAAGCACCCCAGACTCCTCTTTAGGGATCCCCCCTCCAACCCAACAGCCTGGTCCTTGGTTTCATTCCTGGAGCATGTCCTTTGCCCCCCGCCCCACCCCCTTCCCCAACAGTACCTGCCGCACAGCCCAGGAAGGCCTCCAAAGCACAAACATAGCGACCAAAGATGAAATATCCATGACAGCTAGTGATGAAGACAATGAAGACAGAGAAGATGCAGTAGAGGAAGCCCCCCAGGGATATGTTGACCAGAATGTAGTTGAGTGGCTGCCGCAACTTCCTGTAGCGCAGTGTGGCCACTAGCACCATGGCATTGAGTGGTGTCCCTGCGAAGAAGACAAAGCCCATGAAAGCTGCTTGTAAGCGGAAGGCCCAGACAGGGGCAATGTGGTACTGAGGCCCATCCCAAGGCCCCACTGAGGAGATGTTCTTGAACAGATAAAACTCCTCCTCCTCCTCCCCTGACATCTTCTTGCTCATGGGATGCCCCCACCCCCTCTGATTCCTCTTATAGATTATCCTCCACCTCCCCCACACAGAACCCCTCCTCCAAAGCCACTTTTGGGCTCCCTGAAGGATCAGAATTGATCCTAAGCCTCCTCAAGACAAAGTTTGGGATTAGACATCTCAAGCCCCCACCTAAACCGCCTTTTGTGGCCCCAAAGCTGATTGGGTGTTCTTCAGGGGATAAAAGATTGGGCTCAAGGAATCTGGGTATGCAATGCTGGATGCTGGGGCGAATAGGAGTGAGCTCCCTGGGGCCTGGGAGATGCTGACCCATATTTGATTAAGATGCTTCCGCTACTTTTTTTTCTTTGTCCTTTGAATGGGGCTATAGAGGGCATTTGTCTATGGCACCTATAGTTTTCTGCCCCCACATCTACCCCTTTGTGGAAGGTGCTCTCTAAGTCTCCCTTTCCAGAGATCTTAGCCTCTCTGCCAGGTGAGGGACCAGCCTCAGTCTACAGGAAGCGGCAGGTGGTGGGGAGTGCCCTAAGAGCACCTTAGTAAACTCAGTCTTCATGGAACAGGATAGGGGCAACTCGACAATACCTAGAGGGCTAGGATATCCCTGGGCTGAGGCTGTTTCCCAGCAAGCGCACCTTTCCTACTCAGATCCCTCCCAGCCACGTTGAAGTCGGTCTGCTCACTGTTCTTGCTCACACCATGCTCACGCTTGCCCCTCCCCTTTGCTCAGCAGTGCCCAAGTTGCCACCGTCTTCCTCTGCTCAACCAAGTCCTGCCCAGGCCTCACAGGCTACCTTACAAAGACCTCTTCTGTGAAGCCCACCCCAGTGATGCCAGCTCTGCTCTAAGCTCCACCTGCGCCTACACTCAATGCTACACTTCAGTCCTTATGAATGTATCTTCTGCCCCACCTCAGTAGACTGTTGGCTCCTTAAGGCTAGTGATTTATTCACAGGTATAATACAAATGTATACAGATAAGTTCTTCTATTTCTTCTGAATCACTCTCAATGCCTCCCACAGTCCCAGAGTTCGGTAAGTAAAATACCTGATGATGGTCTTAATGGGCCACGCAGCGGACTTCTGGCCAGATACATTTACAATATACAGTGTAAGATCAATATTACTAGATATGAGAAAAAAGACTGGGAAATGTGACACATAACTAGGAGCAAAAACAGTAAATAGACCCAGCCACGGGATTACAGACAAAGACTTTAAAGTAGCTATTATAAACATGTTTAAGGATTTAAAGGAACAGATGGTCATATGAGAGAAGTGGAGGAGACTCTAAACAGAGAAATGGGAACTATTTTAAAAATGGAAATTGCAACCACATCTTAGGCCACAGAGCAATCCTCAACAAGATCCAAAACGTCGAGATAATTCAAAGTATCTTCTCTGACCACGATGCCATCAAGATAGAAATTAACAATAGAAAGAGCAAGGAAAAAAAATCAACTACATGGAAACTGAGTAATACCCTGCTTACACATCAGTGGGTAATAGAAGAAATCAGAGATGGAATCAAAAAATTCCTAGAATCAAATGAGAATGAAAACACATCATACCA